CAGTTGGCAAAGTTGGGTTTAAACTCCTTTCTTCCTTCTCATATGGTCCCAGTACAAATTGGGCTCCCCATGTTGCTTTAATTAATCTTTTAAATAGAGCCACAAGGTCATGGATCTCTTGATTTCTCATCTGTTTTGACCCTATGAAAAGTTCTCTCCTATTAAAGGATGAAAACAAAATGTAGAATTTGGCTTGTTTAGAAGAGTGATCTGAGTGTTGTGGGTGCCTTAATGTGAAATGACTGATCCTTATCTGTCTTAAATGGATAATTATTAAAGGCAATTCAAGCTCCATTTGAGGGTGTTGTAGTTTTCTAATGATCCAAAGCGTGTATCTAGCAATTAGCAGATTTAGAAACTTTTCAGAGCAGTGGTGCCCATAGTAATAAAACCTTAGTGCAAATTGCCTTGTTTGGCTTCCTTTCACCTTTAGCTCTGTTGAGGAGATAGTACTTTATGCCAGTATATTCCAGTTTTCCCTAACACATTGACACTCTCTCATTGATAGCATGAGATGCAAGAGCTGAAACTTAACAGTTCGAACGCAAACATATCTCATCGGTGGCCTGCTGAAAGCTATGCAACAGAGACAATGCCAGATGGCTATCAAGGAGCACAGAACTTTCATGGAGCACCACTAACAGGTAACTAGAATGTAAGGCTCAAGATGTTGGCAAACATTTATTGAAAAATACTAAAGCTTAAAGGGGAAGAAAATTCTGTGAATCCAATAAATGCTTATCATTCAAAATCTCAAGGTTTAGAGTTATTGTTTGCCACAAGTGTTGAGGATGAGACCACCAGCATGCCCGTGCAAGACATGATTGCACAGTAGAACTGGAGGGAATTAGGGTAGCACAAATATACTTAGATTTGGGGTGGCCATCAACTTAACCATGGTCTCTTGTGTGTTCAGTTGCTACAACAGGACCTTCTGTCTACTACAACCCATCACCTGCTTATAATTCCCAGTATCTTCTCCGAACAGCCGCCACCAATGTGACTCCCACAAAGGTACCCTCTAAATATTATTGTTAATAACAGAATATTTTTGTACATAAAGATACGAAAAGTCGCTAAAGCAAGTTACTTTGTTAAATTAACATTTTTAAGCCCTTATCATGGGAAGAAGAGTATTTAAAAAAGCTGCTGAAAATGGGTGGAACTAAACACTTTTTTTTGGGGGGGGGGTTCATCCTGGGATCATTATAGACATTCCCCACCACCCTTCTAAATGCAGCCACTAGCACTGCTTTTTTGTTAGTTTCTGCTGAAAAACATTGCCACCCATCACGCTTTTAACCCAGGGGGGGACGGGACAGAAGTACCCATCATTTAATGTTATGTGGTATTCCACACTAAAATGTAAATTTGAAAACTGTATTGGCTACAACTACTGAGGCTTTATGGCTAAAACTGAATATCTTGGGTTTTGTTTTTCTAGGCTCCTGTCTATGTCGTGAATAGACCTACACCTCAGCAACATATATATACATATCAACAGCCGATGCATACTCCACCGCCACCACCAAATACCTCTTGTATGTTTTCACAAGAAATGTATAGTACTCCACTGCATTTTGACTCTCCTGCAACTGGAATTCTGTCACCTCGTGGCAGTGAAGACTATTACAATTACAGTGTTCCGCCAGCAAACACAAACCCGCCACTCCCTGAGCCGGGCTATTTTACCAAACCGTCAGCAGCACCTCCAGTTCCAAGATCTGCAGAGCCAAAGGTGACAGAATTTGGAAAGCCTAACTTTGGGCAGCCTATGCCAGCAGAGGGAGCAAAGCCGCCTTCATTGATAACCCCTGCTCAGTCTAGTCAATCCACTACATTCAAATTTAATTCTAATTTCAAATCTAATGATGGGGATTTTACTTTTTCATCACCTCAGGTTGTAACACAACCCCACAGTGCAGCCTATAGTAACAGCGAGAGTCTTTTGGGCCTTCTGACATCAGATAAACCTATTAAAGAGGATCGCTATATAGGACAAAAGCTTGCTGCTGAAAATGCCCCTGGGCAGCGCAGTATCTTCAGCTTTGGTATCAAGAATGCTTCAGGCGTTTCATTCACAGAAAAAATGGGCCAGAACCAACACAAACACTGTGGCTTCATTAAGGGAGATGGGTTCAGCTTCCAAGATCTTGGCAAGCCCATGTTCGGTACTCCAAATTCAGATGTAGCGAACAGAAGTCATGAAACAGATGGTGGAAGTACCCATGGTGGTGATGAAGATGATGATGGGCCTCATTTTGAACCTGTCGTGCCACTTCCTGACAAGATTGAGGTAAAAACAGGCGAGGAAGATGAAGAGGAAATCTTCTGCAACAGAGCAAAACTCTTTCGTTTTGATGCTGAATGCAGAGAGTGGAAAGAGAGGGGTGTTGGTAATGTGAAAATTCTAAGGCATAAAGTAACTGGCAAAATCAGACTACTAATGAGGCGAGAGCAGGTACTGAAAATCTGTGCAAATCACTATATAAGCCCTGAAATGACTTTGACACCAAATGCTGGGTCAGACAAATCATTTGTTTGGCATGCCTTAGACTATGCAGATGAATTGCCAAAACCTGAGCAACTGGCAATCAGATTTAAAACACCAGAAGAAGCTATGCTGTTCAAGAGCAAATTTCAAGAGGCTCAGAAAAGCTTGAAAGACTCTGGACCAAATGTTGGTGAACAGGCTGCTCAAAATAGTGGGTCATCGAGAGAAATAACTCAAGACGCAAAGGATTCTAGTAAGCCTGATCCTGGATTCCATTTTAAGAGTGGTACATCTTCTGTTGGTGGCAGCCAAGGTTCAGGCTCTAACACGAACAATACAGCAAAAAATGTTAATACCAAAAGTACATTTACAGTTACATCAACTGGGTCTATACCTGCATCCTTTCCCTTTCATAAGGGAGTTCCGGCAACACACACTATGCATGGATTTGGTGATCAGTTTACATTGAAGAAAGATCAGTGGGACTGTAATATATGCCTGGTTAGGAATAAAGAAAGTGCACAGAAGTGTATAGCATGTCAGAATCCAAAGCCACTTGATAAAGCGACAGTGGCTGTGACGCCTCAGACAGAATCTACTGTGGCTTTCCGACCAAATACTGAAAGTGCACAGAGTACATTTGGACCCATTTCTGCTAAAACAGAAAACCAGTGGGAATGCAGGGTCTGTTGTGTAAGAAACGAAGCCAGTGTATCTCATTGTAGTGGCTGCAAGAATCCCAGTGGAACTAATGCACCAGTGTTTGGTCCCCAAGCCACATTCAAATTTGGCCAAACAGATACTCCAAAGGTCCAACAAAGTGACTTTGGGGCTGCTTTTTTGAAAAAGGAAGGTGAATGGGACTGCAGTACATGCTTAGTACGAAATAAAGCTTCTTCAGCAACTTGTGCAGCTTGTCAGACTCCAAATCCATGTAGTAATGCACTGTGCCTACCTGCTGATACTGTGCCTCCTACATTTGGCTTCAAAAGCAAGTTATCAGAACCCACCAAAGGACCTCTAGGGACAGGTTTCAAGAGTAACATTTCAGAACAAGGTTTTAAATTTGGCCATTCTCTAGAGCAAGAGAAGTCTTCTTCCTTCATGTTTCAGATTCCTTCTGGTGCAGAAGCTAAGCCTATAAAGAGTGGATTTAATTTTTCAATGCCTGTCCCCCCAGGTGGATTTAAATTTGGTATACAAGAGCCTAGCAAAGGTGTTGCAAAAGATGAACAGAATAAAGAAGACAGTCTTGTTGAAAAGGACTCCGAGGGAGAGGGTGGTGAAAAATCTCAAGATCCGTCTAGCAAACAGAGCGGCAGTTTAGTTTTTGGACAACACAGCAGCACTTTCACTTTTGGAGATCTTGCAAAAACAACAGCTGGCGAAGGATTTCAGTTCGGTAAAAAGGACCCAAATTTTAAGGGATTTACAGGTGCAGGTGAAAAACTCTTTTCTTCTCAGGGTAAAACTCCTTCCAAAGCAAATACTTCTGCCGATCTTGATAAGGATGATGATTCATATAAAACAGAAGACAATGATGACATTCACTTTGAACCTGTTGTCCAGATGCCTGAAAAAGTGGAACTTGTCACTGGTGAAGAGGACGAGACAGTGTTATACTCACAAAGAGTAAAATTATTTAGGTTTGATGCAGAGACTAGCCAGTGGAAAGAACGGGGTGTGGGTAACTTGAAAATTCTTAAGAATGAAGTTAATGGCAAGTTGCGGATGCTAATGCGACGTGAGCAGGTGCTAAAGGTCTGTGCGAACCATTGGATCACGACCACCATGAACCTGAAACCCCTGTCTGGCTCGGACAAAGCATGGATGTGGCTAGCCAGTGACTTTTCTGATGGTGATGCAAAGCTGGAGCAATTGGCAGCTAAATTCAAAACTCCAGAGCAAGCTGGGGATTTCAAACAGAAATTTGAAGAATGTCAAAGGCTGCTGCTGGACATACCACTGCAAACTCCGCACAAACTTGTGGACTTTGGGAAAACAGCTGAGCTCATACAGAAAGCAGAAGAAATGAAAAGCGGGTTGAAAGATCTCAAAACTTTCCTGACAGATGATAAAACTAAGCTTGCAGATGAAGAAAACAGAAATGCGGTTTCTGCTGCTAGCACTTCTGATTTGATTATAAAACCACATGCTGACAGCACTGGGCCTACATTAGAATGGGATAACTATGACTTGCGTGGGGAAGCACTGGAAGACGGTTCCAGTAGTTCTGTCTATGCATTGCCTCGAGCCAGTAGCCCTGTGAGGAAAAACCTGTTCCGGTTTGGAGAGTCTACAGCAGGGTTTAACTTTAGCTTCAAATCTGCTCTGAGTCCCTCAAAATCGCCTTCCAAGCTCAACCAAAGCAGGACTTCTGTAGGCACAGATGAGGAGTCGGACGTTACCCAAGAAGATGAAAGAGATGTTCAGTACTTCGAACCAGTAGTACCTTTACCCGACCTTGTAGAAGTAACAAGTGGTGAAGAAAATGAGCAAGTTGTCTTCAGTCACCGAGCCAAGCTCTACAGATACGATAAAGCTGCCAATCAGTGGAAAGAGAGAGGTATTGGGGATATAAAGATCTTGCAGAATTACGACACTAAGCAAGTTCGTATAGTCATGAGAAGGGATCAGGTGTTAAAGCTTTGTGCCAATCATAGAATAACCCCAGATATGAACATCCAGCCAATGAAGGGAACAGAGAGGGCATGGGTGTGGACTGCATGTGACTTTGCTGAAGGGGAAAGAAAAGTAGAGCCTTTGGCCGTGCGATTTAAGTTGCAAGATGTTGCTGACTCCTTTAAGCAAATTTTTGAGGAAGCAAGATGCGCTCAAGAAAAAGAAGTTTTAATCACACCGCTCAGTTCACGTGCTAATACTCCAAAAGAATCTCCATGTGGAAAAATTGCTGTTGCCATACTGGAAGAAACCACCAGGGAGAGAACAGATTTAAAGCTAAAAGAAGAGACAGTTAATGAAATAGTAGAAACGTCAGTAGTGCTAAATACTTCTGAGACGCCAACAAAAGCAGTGGTTTCACCTCCCAAATTTGTGTTTGGCTCAGAATCTGTCAAAAGTATTTTTAATAATGAGAAATCAAAGCCTTTCACATTTGGAAACACATCAGCAACAGGATCTTTATTTGGTTTCAGTTTTAATGCTCCTCCCAAGAGCCCGAGTGATAGTTCAGTATGTCAAACCACAGTACAGAAAGAACCAGGGGACATGTTTGGCACTGTAAACTGCAAAGCTGCTGGACATCAGGGAGGTGGTGGCTGGAAACCCTCTGATGGCAAAGACATTCAAATGGCTACCTCCAAAATGGAAGGACTTTCTAACTTTTCATTTAAAATTCCAGAAAAAGGTGAGCTTTTCTTGAAATTCAACTTGTAAGCTAGAATTGTTTGCAGTGTATCTGTGTTTCCACCCATACCCGTTTCAGTAGGTCAAAACGGAGGCTTCTATTTCAAATATATCCACAAATATGCAATTTATAAATCTATAATGCTGCAAAACTAAATAGTTCTTAGAAAGGTAGGGGGAGAAATTCATTAAAACTAATATCCCTATGTGACCTTAAAGAGTATGAGAGGAAGAAGCACTGTGTTCATTCATGGTGCAATACATAACTATAAAGTCATAACAACCTCCTTCCATTGTAGATAGAAGACTAACTGATAAATAGCTCTGTTGCTAAAGCATTGGTCTTCTGTTCTCTAGCCTGGCTTATTAGAAGCTTGGACTTCAGCATTTTATGTGTTAGCTGAAGCTTCTGTATGCTCATTACCAGCATTATGGACTAGGCCTCATTGCTGAAGTCAGCCCTTCAGGTTAAAAAGTCATGATCTGAATATTGCAGGGGCTTGACCAGTACAAATATTGGAAGTTGCAAACTGGTCAAATTAGGCTCTAAAGCTTGGTTGCTGTTTTGTTCCTTGTTTCTTAAAATCAATGAACAAAATGAGTCACAGATAAATAGTTTGATTTCCATAACTATTTTGCTATCCGAACATGGCTTCAGATGCTAAACATTCCTAGCTGGGATGTTTTCCTTATGAAGAGGCAAATCAGGTGAGCTCCGATAAGTTCTTTTTTGGTAACTTCCTTTGGCTAAAGTGTGGCTTCTTGGCATGAGGGATTGCTCTGTAGTTCAAATGGTATTCCAGTTATCACAGTGCTTTGCTTGTTAGATTTTGGAGATGTGATTTTTTTTATTGAGAATACAACTGGGTTGCACTGATTAGTTGTAAGAACAAAAGCTACGTAATAGCTTTTATGAAGACCAAGCAAAATTGCATGAAATAACATGTGAAATTCTCCAGATTACTTAGCTAGGCTGAAAGAAAAAGGGAAGGGGGCCAAGAAAAAAATATGGTTTCAGGTGATACAGAATCTGCTGCAGCCTTGATTGAATTTTATCAAGTTGCCATTTAACCTTCAAGGTTGAAGGAAAAAACATTGGCTGCATTTGAATATGTGAAAACCGGTACTTGATCTGTCTTGCCATTAGGAAATGCAACTTCCTTAAAAGGCTGAGGGCAAAGAAAGACTATGATAGAGGAATTCATCATATTATTCATATTACAGTTGTTGACATGAATATTGTTTCAGTGAAAGGTAACATTAATCCTGATAGAATAATCTTGTCTTCAGTGTTTGCCTTAGTTTAGGTAGGATTTTGCTTCCTGATAGCATTTAAAAAAGCTATGCGACAGTTAATAGTGTCATTTTTAAGTGCTGCTGCTAAAAAGATCTAAGTGCACTAGATCACATTCATATAATACAATGTAAAATCTAGTGGTGTCTTTGGCCATACCCCTTGCTCTCTAAGGAGTGCACTAGATCACATTCATATAATACAATTAAAATCTAGTGGTGTCTTTGTTTGGCCATACCCCTTGCTCTCTAAGGCGTGTTAATTGAATGCTTAAATCACACCATTTATTTTCTAGGATTAAATTTTAGCCTTTTTAAATCTAACCCAAGGGCCTTTTGGACCAGCACATCTTCCTCTCCACCTGGTAGTAAAGGTATTTACACACTGCACTGAATGTAGTGTTACATCACTTCTTGGAAGCTCCTCAACTTGGGCAAAGTAACTGGCTGTTTAATGGGATAAAAGTGCAGACTAATTAACAAGCATGCTTTAGGAGAATAGTAGTGACTGTATAGTTGTTTTGGTGGTAAGCTGGTTCCTGAGTCCCTTTAAACTCGTGGATTGCTAAATTCTTATGTCGCAGTGCTCAGCCATTGACTTTGAAGCTTAGTTTAAATTCAATATCCAAAGAAGCTTAAGATCTTAATTTCTGTAAGCTGCTCCTTAGATCCCTTTTATGGAATGGCAGGGTCAAAATAACTTGAATAAATAATAGTTCTACTTGCTGGACTCAATATGGGCAGGAAACTTCCAGAGCCTTTGGCTATTTGTGCAACCAGTATAGATGCTGAATTTGTTCTTCAAGCTGTATGAGATCCAAACTAGATGCTGTATGTGACACGAGTTGGGTTTCTCTAACTGTCAGACGTAACATCAAGGAATTAATGTTCCCAAGCAGCCAGGTTTCGTGAGCACATGTGCTGCCCCACAGCAGGGCAAGGAAGGCTCACAGCCCTACTCTTTCAGCAGGAAAATGGCACTGGATGGAAAGCTGAAGCTACTCCTCCTGTGCTGTTTTCATGAGCCAAATCACACTTGAGAATGTTCATCCTCTGACACATCTGAGTCTTAAAAGAGCAGAGCTGTGTTGATGAAATCCTGACCTGACTCACGTCAGAAGGAACACCTACTTTAGGCCTCAGTATACAAGTGCGGTGGCTCAAGTGGTTAAGACGCTGAACTGCAGACTGTGGAAGGTCAGTAGTTCAGCGGTTCAAGACCCGGGTGCCGCAAGACAGGGTGAGTTCCCGTCTCTAGTTCCAGCTCCTGCCAACCTAGCAGTTCGAAAGCAAGAAATTGCAAGTAGATAAATAGGTACCACTTCGGTGGGAAGGTAACAGCATTCGTGCACCTTGGTGTTTAGTCATGCCGGCCACATGACCACGGAAATGTCTTCAGACAGCGCTGGCTCTTCGGCTTTGAAACGGAGATGAGCACCGCAACCCTAGAGTCGGATTCGAATGGCTTTCGAGCAAGGGAACCTTTACCTTTATACAAGGAAAACAGTTCCTGCCTTGCCTGATGTGGGCAGCCATGGCCACTGTTGCCCCCGGTGGCTCTCCCTTGCCCATGCAGGACCACAAATCGGGCTTGTGGGTAATTTGGGGGCCCCAACTTCCCCCAAGTATTAGCAAAGATGCTTTAAAAAGCTGGTATAAATTGGAACCTACCTTCCCTTTTCCCAACTTAATAGTAGGGCAGTGGCAGCCCAAACCCATTCAAAAATTGCACAGTTGCTGAGCTGCTGTCTATAAGAAACCAAAAAACACCCCACTGCTGCTTATATCTGCAGCATTTTCAACTGCCTGTAGGCTGGAGGTCTGCATGTGTAGTTGTGGGAGATGTGCCACTATTGCCTAGGTTTGAGAATTGGGAAGGTTTAAGTGAGGAAGGGCGGTTTGATGGTGATGAGTGTAGGAGATGCTGGCTAGTTCTCCCGGCTTCCCTACTGTGAAACCCCAGTGTGATCTCAAGCCTATCTTTAAATGAGTCTAAACTCACATTTTCAAGTTGGAGTCTGCATTTCAAGATCCCCCCAATATAAACTTTATAAGCATCACTGCTTATTTCCCTCAAAGTCATGAAGCAGTTTTGTAACTGAAATTGTGTGTGTGTGGGGGGGGAGAATGCTCATTCTTGTTCATAGTTTTCTTCCATTTTAAAATTCTGTCAGTTGTACATGTATCAAGTGCCTTATGCTCTTTGAAAACTTATTACATACCTCTAATACGTTCTAACTTTCCTTTCTAGACCAGAAAAAACCCTGACAAAATCTGAAGGGTTCATCTTGTTATGTCCCTCCTAAAGGCTTAAGTAAAATTGAATTAATAGTCATCTTTATATGAGAAATTTTCCATGAAATTAGTGGTTCTGTGAAATTTGTCATGGTTACAATTTTTAAAGATGGGAAGCATAATAACCAAGGCAGGTGTATTTCCACTTTAGGTGTGTTTGAGCTAGTTTATCTAAAACACTCACTGAACAGTCACTTTAAGTCCTCTTCTCCTTAATTTCACCTGAAACCTACAGTCTATCACAGCCAATGAAACAGTAAGCATATAAGTTCACTGGAGTTCATGTTTTATCTTGACTGTCACCCAGTCAAGGAAATCTGAATTGATTAATCATTGGAGGTTGGTCTTTTAAATCTGTATAAATTTACTTATAAGTAACAGCAGTAGTTCTGAAGCACACTCATAGATGCTGCACACATGTCAGCAGGCCGCGTCTCAGAAGAAAAAAAATTCTGCAAGGGGGAGAAATGTGGCTTCTAAGTGAATACTGTCCAGGCTTTCCTCTTTTTAAAGCTAGTTAAAAACCTTCAGCTCCTTCCTCCTCTGCTACCTGCTTAATTGGTTGAACTTTTTAATCGATCAAAAGGTTTTTATCTAATTGATTAGGTTAATTGATAAAATATGGTAGCCCTTCTTCCATGAGAATGTTCCTTGTTCATGTACTATAATATGAGAAAGGTCTGCTGTAGGTTTCAGACACGTTTGGGGAGTCAACTGAATGCCTCAGGCTCTCAGCTGTGACACTTGATAATATGAGAAAGGTCTGCTGTAGGTTTCGGACACGTGAGCAGTGGGCAGGGTTTGGGGAATAAACTGAATGCCTCAGGCTCTCAGCTGTGACACTTGCCTGTTGCAGATAGGGTGAATCCAGTCCAAGGAGCCTTCCTCCAACAGAAGACCCACTTAAGATGAAGGAAGTCTACCTAGGCTGGAGGAAGGCTTCAGACTTTGCTCAGTGGAGTGGGAGGATAAGGGTAGGATCCACCCTATTTTGAACATCCACTGACATTTCCAGGCTTCTTCTGTGTCTGCATTTTGAAAAGGGAAGTGTGCAAAGACAGTGTGGGAAGCAACCACTTGCGCTTCATACTCCAGCATTTCATATGACTATACGATTCCAGGACTTAACAATCGGAGCTATGTGTGCTGTATTATTGTCCCACGTGACACTTGCAGCATGGTCTTATGCATGTCTGTTCACAAGTTTCACTGAGTTCAGTGGGGCTTACTCCTGATTTCGTGTCCAGAGGGTTTGCAGTCTTAAAAAGAGTGTCATGCTTTTATCTGGAAAAAACTATGCTGTTGTCATTGTGTAGGTGACCTCCAAGGAGAGCGCTTTAGACATAATTTAGAATAGCAAAATATGGCTTGGGCTAGTTGGATTTTTAATATATGGCTTATAAAACATATTTGCCTTTAAGTTAGTTGGTGACGTGCCTGGATAAACTGAACCTAACATGCTAGTTTTGTTCTCAGAACAGTGCATTTTGTGGAATGCCAGAACACTTAACTCTAACACTCCTTTAGAAGTTATCTTTGGCTCTCACGTGAAACAAGTGCATACTGATACAGTTAATGTGCATGAAAACATTTTATGCACTTTGCATGTTTAAATGATAACTTTATGCTCTAAAGTGTATGGTATTTTTTTCCCAAAAACAATTTATTAGGATATAATTTTAAAAAATTCAAACATACATCAAAACTGTGTATGGTATTGTATGTTGATTCCCAGCATTATCTAATTACCACCAACTGACTTGAGAAGACAATAATTTGAATCCAGCAAAGGGTTTTTTTTCAGGGACACTGGAATTTTGTGGCTTTTCTCTGAAGTGAAAAATAGTTAACACTGAAGGGTTTGGAGGAAGCAATTTAAAATGGTTTGAAAGCAACTTTACCAAAATATATGTTTATGCTTAGGGGTATTTGTAAGAACATAAGAGAAGCCAATGTTGGATCAGGCCAATGGCCCATCCAATTCAACACTCTGTCACTCAGTGGCCAAAAATACCAGGTGCCATCAGGAGGTCCAGCAGTGGGCCCAGGACACTAGAAGCCCTCCCACTGTTGCCCCCCCCCCAAGCACCAAGAATACAGTGCATCACTTGCTCCAGCCTGAGAGTTCCTATCTATACCTTGTGGCTAATAGCCACTGATGGACTTCTGCTCCATATACTTACCTAATTCCCACTTGAAGCTGTCCATGCTTGTAGCCGCCACCACTTCCTGTGGCAGTGAATTCCATGTGTTAATCACTCTTTGGGTGAAGAAGTACTTCCTTTTATCTGTTCTAACACAACTGCTCAGCAATCATTGAGTGCCCACGAGTTCTTGTATTGTGAGAAAGGGAGAAAAGT